CCCCTCCTTCCCCCACCCCTGTCGAAACCAGACGAAAATCGACGGATGTGGGTCACAGCGGGTGGACAGGATTCGAAGAAAGGGTGGCCGGCACGAAATAACGGAACAGCTTCCACATTGCCCCGTGATATTCATTCCTTGATTTACAGTGCCGCCCCCTCGGTCGGTCACGCAGTTTTGTATCGGTCGAATAGATAGGCGTGCTCGCCTCACTATGGTATAATAAAATTTCCGCTACTATGGAAACAGAGCTTGGTAGAGGGGGGGGAGGGAGAAAGCGAGATGGAAGTGAGTTCTCGAAGCATCCCTTCCGCGGGGCGTTGATTTATACGCGTTATTTTACCCTCTCCCACTCGCGAATGATTCGGAAAAATGCTCATCTGCTCGACGATGATCGGATCTGAGTCGTATCAAGATGTTGTTCTTTTTTTTTTTTTTTTTTTTTTTTAGAGGGAAAAAGAATCTGTTAGGCTGTTTGCTGTTTTTTTTTTGGAGAATATAGGAAATGGTTATAATTATACGAAGTATGGAAATACTTATGGATGTTTTTTGGATAGTTTTGATCATACTGCTTCCTCGAGAAGCAAGAATTCTTTTTATAGAGTGTCTCTATGAAAGGTGTAATAATGGAGGATTTTGAAATACTTTATGATTTTAAAGAGGTTATCGAAATTCGAGGTTATGTTTTTTAAAAGTATATTTTATATTTCGATAACTTGTTCAAAAACTCCAATATTTCGATTCCAAAATTCTTTTTTTCGATCGCTTTTACTTATTAAAGGATCCATATTTTGTTGAATAAGAAATCTGTGTGGCGGGTTAAGAAGATAAATAATTCGTATTTCGATTCGATTCGATAAGAGCATAAAACCGAGTCACGTTCTGTCAATGTGAAAAAACTTTGAATGCCCAAGGAGGAGAAATGTTTTTCTTGAAATTCCGTTAAACTCGATAAATTCATGTTTCGTGTTTCTCGTGGGGCGATAAGATATAAAAACCGGATGACGAACGAGTTGTAGCCGAGGAATCTTTTGTGCGTGCACAGGAAATCGGAATCTGTAACCGGAACTGAAAAGTTCCGTACTCCTTTTACGGATTTAAATAACCACTGGTGAAAATTTCCAAGCTTAACTCAACGTATAACACTGATATTCTTAAATTATTTTAATTTGCTCGATCGATAATTTTTCTTTTACCGATCGAACAAAATTTTGGAATTCTTTCAATTTTTTTTCTTCTCACACAACTTTAAAATTCTGTATAATTCCATAATCTTTCCCATTTTGCAATTATTTCATATAAATATATATTAAAATATAAATATTTATAAAATTTATAAAACAACAAAATCGAGTCAAATATAAATAATATTTATATATAAAAAAAAAGTAGAAGCAAAAGTTCATCCATTTATAATATTTCGTTTAATTATATTTTTAATTATAGAAAGAAAGTTTGACGAGCAAAAAATAAATCGAATAAAAATCGGGCATTTGACAGGGTCGGACATGTGTCGTAAATCCGAGTGAGAATCGTTATCGAACGATGCGCGGCGGCGTGTTTGAAAGCTGACTCACTCGGTCAACGAGTTAAGTGCAGTGTAAGTAGAATAGGAGCGTTTCTCGTCAGCCAACGATTACTTCGTGCTTGACCGTCTAATTGCATCTTCACTGCCTTTTAATGGCCTCGCCTGTGTTCCATTAATTTCCCCAAAATTGTCGGGATGTAAAATTGTTTAAATTGTTTGCTGCACGCGATTGTTATTTTATGGGATGGACTCTACTAACTGGCGACTCAATCGAAGCTATTACGCGGTAAAGACTGTGGAATCGTGGCCTAGCGGTCAAGTAGTATAGGTCAAGCAAAAGTGTAGAATGAGAGTGGACGTAGTAATACAAGTGAATCATTCGTCAGACAAGTAGTAGTAGAGAAATAAATCGAGTGTATCGTAATCGAATAAGTAGTAGAGATCAATTATTGAATCGAATCAGTAGAATAAATCGAATTTTAAGAAATGAGACGTAATAATTTTGATTGTGTTTACGATACATGAAAATCGATCGAACGTAAAATCTACGATATCTATATTTTTTGTTTTAAAAATTCGTAAATCAAATATTCCAATATTAAAAAAATATATTAAAGATCAAAGGATTTTACATCCAAAATACTTTAATAAAAGATTCTTTTCCATTAAAATTGACATCGATAGCCACTCGAAATTTTGAAGATTCTCTCGAACTTTTCAACTTCGATAGAATGGAATTAAAGAAAGAAAATATCGAACAAAATAATGCACAATCTACTGCGAAAATAAAATTACATATACTCGAAACCCATCTCTTTTTGAAAATGGTAATAGGCATGTCATAGGTTAACCAGAACATAAAAGATTTGAAAATTCGTGGAATCTCATCCAGTTCCATAATAACTACTAATGTAACGTATACTGACACGAGAACCAGACTTGGACGCATCTCTGGAGAGTAATGGATTCCAGGATTTACGATCCGGCTTTCTCCAAAATTACTGACGTGTAACCACCCCTCTTTCCATATTCGCGTGCCTCGTTGCAGATTTTCCAAGATGTATCGAAAACAGAAATAACTGTACCGTGATCTCATGATATTCATTCCTCTATCCGTAATATATATCATTGATATACAAACTGAATCTATTTAAATTCATAATAATTCAAAATTTCATGCAATATGATATAAAAATATTATACCATACTACAAATATTAATTTCACAATATCGAAAATTCCAAATATCTAAAAGCTCTTGAAAAATCACCATCTATTTAGAATTACAAAGAAATTGAACGAAGGATAAAACGGAAGAAAAAATTTCAAATTTCTTGCGAAATTTCCAAAATAAAAAATTCGAGATATCTCTCTTCGTATAATAGAAACTTTCGTATAATATCGTGATATATATAATATTCGTAATATATATACACTTTTTTAATATATATATATATACTTTATTCATTCCTTCGTGTACTATTCAAATAGACCGTGCCACTGATCTTCTTCCGCGATATCGAAGGTTAGCAAAGGTGTAAATCCTGTTTCCACGTTGGCACAGGCTTATCGACGAGTTCCACGAGTTCGATTGTCCCCCCGATCTGCTAAATTCCAGGTCTAAGTAAAGCTGAGAGGAAGCTGCGTGCTCTGTGCGACAGCGGTTGAAACGATAATGACATTCTATCCGCGTGCTAGGCGCCTCCTAATTAAATGGATATCAGCTTAGGCCAGGTCTTGACGAGCAGCGATAAGCCGGGTTTCAACTCCCGTAGAGGGGGGATTAATTAAGCGTTTATATCGCGGAATCGCTACTTGTACGATTCTTCCTTTCGTGTGCCTGGAGGAGGAACGAGAAATTGCGAATGATGTACGAGGTGTGAATTCTTATCGTAGGAAAAATGGTGATCGGACGTAGAATGAAGTAAGATGGCCAAGACTTGTCTGGCAAATAGTGTAGGTTATGTAATGGGCAAGTAGAATAAATCAGTCATAGTGAGAACGTGAGTGAAAAGACTATATTTATTAGATAAGTAGTATAGATTAATAATAATGGGTGGAGAGGTAGTGGAGTAGATCAATCATAGTGAAACAAGTTAGATTTGTCTATTTATTAGAAAAATAGTATAGATTAATAATAATGGGGAGAGAAGTGGAGTGGATCAGTAATAGTGACGAGTGAAACGAGTTAGAGTCGTCTATTTATTAGAAAAGTAGAGTAAATCAATCATAATGACAACGATTCAAGAATCAGATTTGTCTGTTTTATTAGATAAGTAGTGTAGATTAATATTAATCGAGAAACAAGTGGAGTAAGTCAATCATAGTGACAACTTATTAGAAAAGTATATTAATGATAATAATAGGTAGAAAAATAGAGTAGATTGTTCAAGATACGATTGAATAAATTGAACAATTGGGTTTGATAAATAGTGTAAATTATCCACTTGAAAAAGTGGTGTAGAACAGTTATTATCGAACAAGTAATGTATCGATTGAATGGTCAGACAAGTAGTAGATATGAATTAATAATGAGCGAAAAATGAATTAGAATGGACAAGTAAAATAAGATATAGTTGTATCAGACGAGTATAAATCGACCATTGATTTTAAAATGGAAAAATAGATATACAGTGTAAGTTAATAATGGGCAAAGAAGTAGAATAGACCAATAGCTATACGAACGACAAGTGAAATAAACTAAATTTGGTTGGACAAGTGGAATCGATTAGTTCTAATATAATTATTATTATATTACGAATAGTACAAAGTCAATCTTTGATCACAAAACTAAGATAAGACAATGATGATATGAACAAGTAACACGAGTCAACCATTTGACAGAAAAATAACACGAAACAATCATTGTCAATAGAAGATAGATGAATAGAAGTAGAACAGATCAATCATAATCAAATTTTTCCGTTGTATCGAAATTGCAATATAAATATATCGAATAATTTAATCAATCAATGACAGTTTAGAGTATTATGAGTAACTCATTATTCTTTTATCTGATCGTTAAATTAATTTTTAGATAAGATATAAAGAAATACTCGTTTAATAACAAAATTCACACACACACAATAGATTGACAGATTTAATATTCATATTTATACAAAAAGTGATTGTGGCTCTGTGCATCATACGAAACATCCATTTTTGTGCCGTGAGTTTTCAATTGTTCACAAAATCTTACTTACAGAATCGAAACATCTGAAGAACCGCATTTCGCAGATAGTCCCTGAAATTCAATCCACATTTAATTATCCCGTGATTTCCATAATTTTTCTTTCTTAATTTTGTGTTTATATACACTGTGCTCCTTAAAGATCAATTTCTAAT